ATGTAAATATAGAATTATCTGCTTCTTTGAAATGGATGTAATCTCTTTATTTGTAACTATGCCATCTGGTACATGGGTTTTTAGAAAATTTTCAAGGGTGAGCTGCAAAGCTAAAGTACAAATTGACTTAAGTAAAGAAAGATGTGTTGAAAGATTTCCCTATCAACACAATGGGGGCAGCATCTGGCACAGAAATAAGTTTTTATTTAAGTAGCCTTTTTAAAATTCTTCCTTTCCTGCCTTCTATGAAAAGATTTTCACTGTCTTCACTTTCACTCTCACTTCAAGGTTAGCTGATGATATCCCAGAATGCATTATTACATGACCCCAAGTCCATGGGTCTAAATGAGACCTCCAGGATATAGGACATCAAACAATGTATGCTGGGTTATTGTCAGCCAACCAGGAAGTCTCTGGAGGATTTCAGAAGAGGAAAGAAAATAATTTAACGGTTTAAGTTGACATTTCTCTGCTGAATGTCTGGGCTGACGGATACCTAGCTTATTGTTGGGATAAACTTCATCCAACTTCCATGATAGATTTTCAGTTCTCAGTATACTAGAATAGCTGCTTTAGAAAGGTTCTAGACAGGATTGCCAAGTATCATGCACCTTATGTGACAGACATACACCTACCAGCCCTGTCATTATCCCTGCAAACTAACTGAGATGTCAAGTGTCCTGCTGGGCTGTGTGGGGATAGCCAGCAACTGTTACTCCTGGCTCTGTCACGCTGCTCCCACGGCTGACTCCCAGCTGGGAAGGAGCAGCCAGCAATAATGGCAGCAGCAACTATGGGAACAGAAGGTGAAAGGGGCATAATACTGGCCCCAGGTTTCCCCCAATCTTTGCACTGACTTCAGTGGGTTCTGGATCAGGCCCAGACTTAATTAAAACAAAGTATCAGTCATACACAATGATCATCATTCTTATAATTGTAAGAAAATTAAAAAATACTTGTTCTTCTCGGGCCAGGAAATGTATGTTTCTTTGTAGCCCCTAAAGAGTTAACTTTTCTTCCGTTGTCTTTCATTCAGAGTAAAGATTTCTAACATAGGCAATTATACAGTTCAGCATCCTGATACATTTCTGGAGAGACAGCTCAACCCTTAGAACGCTCTAATAATGCATGACACTGGAATCTGAGCAAGTGCTACAGCTTGGTCAAAAGATTAGGAAGTTTTACCTTTGTTGTCAGTTTCTCTTTTCCCATTCAAATACAACTTTCTAAAATTATGGGGCGGGGCTGGAATCTAATCATAGGTTTTATAAAACTTTTTTCTACTATATTTTGGACATAAACTACTTAAGTGTTTGTTTAAGCCAGGAGCACAAAATGAAATAGAGATAAGATTTCAAGGTTTTTAAGTAGGAAATCAATTAATTCATAACATACACTTAGTGTATCCATATCAAATTCTGTTACAAATATTGCTATCAAAAGAAGCAGGGAGGTCATTTAACTAAGTGTATTAGAATGTATTAGCCCTGTTTACATGTCTCCTTATTAATTTGCTTTTCTCTGGACAGGTGGGCTAGAGAGATTCTCTGTAAAATCCACTCAAAGCTGCTCCTGCGTGTCAGTGTTTTTGGGTATTGCTTCAGTGTTGTACGTGATATGGTGGATTGTGAGGGCAGAATTTTAAACCTGAAGTGAGTCAGGCTGTGGCCAGCCTCTAGGAAGGAAAAGATGACCCACCGAGGGGAATGAAACATACCTGTGTTTGCAAAGCACTGGTTTCTCTCAACATAGTGGCCTCAGACCAAACTTTGTCAATTTCAAAACCTTGCTTTTGACAGAGTCCCAGAGCTGGAACCTTTAACCTGTCTGCATGCTCTCTTAGGCCTGTCTGTTTTATGATTGGCAACTAAGAAACAGCATCAAGAGGTAAAAATGTAAGGCACATAGGACGGTTAGTGTTTTGAGCTATATGGTAGCTTGAGGATTGTCCCAGCCTATTTACAAAGTCTTGAAAGCTGCCAAGAACCAGCACCAATTTAATTTCAGATGATCTAAAATCCTACCACATACCCACCCCTTGACTTTAGATTTCTTTCAAGGCACAAACGTGTTACACTGAAGAGTCACTCTGCTCGCCTTCCACTAGCTTTAAGCATAGGACTTTCGTTGTGTGCAAAATGTCATTTTATGTATGTTCCAGAAGAGGCTGACACCAAGGTAATATCTATTTAACATAAATGAAGAAATAAGAGCTAAGGCTGGAAGCACTGACCTAGATTTCTTGGTTAGCCCATAACACGCTAGAATGTAAAAGCACGCCCAGGGGCTATGCCCATTTCTATCAGACACCATTGATTTCAGTACGATTAATGGCCATAGGGCAATAGGTGTTCTCCTTTGTTGCACCTTTTATTCTCTTACAGGACACTGAAATTGTTCATTTAATCCAAAATGTAATCTAAACTCTACAAGTTTAAGGAAGTAGATGATTTCTTTCTTGCAGTCATAGCAAAAGATACTATAATCACATATACACTGTAAACCCTTTCTGCCAGTGCAGTTACTCATTTAGCAGCCTTAGTATTCTATGTTTGCAAGATGAAGATTGAAGCAACACAAGAGGCCATTGTACTTTCCAGCAGAAAATTCTTTGGAAACATGGAGTTTGGAAGCAGTTTAGGTATTTTTTTTTTTGTTAAAAATTAAGCGTTAGCATACAAATTAGCATGAGGTTTGCTAAATCTGAAGAGAATTCACAGTTGCCGTGACAAATAGACTATTTCACTAGGGACCAGGGCATTTCAAGAGCTGTTTTAATGTTAATGAAGTGTGTAGTAGACTGCCTGCCTTTGTTTTTATGGGCTGGTTTGGTCGCAGAGAGTTGATGAATAGTTTAACTCTGTATGCACTGGCTGCTGAAGTGCTTCTAGACATATTCAGGGGCTAGCACTGACCATTTGGGAAATGGCTGCTATTCCAGCAGCTTGCTCAGGAGCCCGTGGCCAGGAGTGTAATTCGTAATTTATTAGAAAATTTGCTGCTTGGAAGTACCAGTGGGCACATTTGAGGGGGGTTTATTGGTCCCTCTCACAACCCTTCTTTCACCTGTCCTTTGGAAGTGGTTCCTCCAGCCCTCCTGTCTCCCTTTGCTTGTCTCCTTTACACCATCCAGCCCCTGACACACAAGAATACTAAATCCAAGTCTTTCTCCATCGTCTCCCTATGAAAACCGCTGAGGTGTCAGGGTCTGAAATGTGTGCATTGTGCTATTTGCAAGTGGGCTCAGTGTATTACTCTTTGCTGTGTGCATTATCCCAGTACCACACACTCAGTGCAATGCCTTTTTCTCTGTGCATTATCCAGGGAACAAGTGGGCTAGCGGCATGGCCTTTTGCTCTGTGTGTTACCCTGAGCACCAGCAAACTCTGTGTAATACCCTTTGCTCGGTGTGTTACCAGGGAACAACTGGGCTCCAGAGTTGGGCATTGCCCTTTGCTCTGTGCGTTGCCCAGGCACCAGCAGGCTCCAGGCACTCCCTTTGCTCGGTGTGGTATGCGGGCTTGGTGCAGTACCCAGGCACTCCCTGGGTCAGGGCTCTGCCTTTTGCTCAGTGCAGTACCCGGGCTCCGGCATTGCCCTTTGCTCGGTGCGGCACCCGGGACCAGCGGGCTCGGGGCACTGCCCTTTGCTCGGTGCGGCACCCGGGCACCAGCGGGCTCGGGGCATTGCCCTTTGCTCGGTGTGGCACCCGGGCACCAGCGGGCTCGGGGCATTGCCCTTTGCTCGGTGTGGCACCCGGGCACCAGCGGGCTCGGGGCATTGCCCTTTGCTCGGTGCGGCACCCGGGCACCAGCGGGCTCGGGGGCACTGCCCTTTGCTCGGTGCGGCACCCGGGCACCAGCGGGCTCTGGCATTGCCCTTTGCTCGGTGCGGCACCCGGGACCAGCGGGCTCGGGGCATTGCCCTTTGCTCGGTGTGGCACCCGGGCACCAGCGGGCTCGGGGCATTGCCCTTTGCTCGGTGCGGCACCCGGGCACCAGCGGGCTCGGGGCACTGCCCTTTGCTCGGTGCGGCACCCGGGCACCAGCGGGCTCGGGGGCACTGCCCTTTGCTCGGTGCAGCACCCGGGCACCAGCGGGCTCTGGCATTGCCCTTTGCTCGGTGCGGCACCCGGGACCAGCGGGCTCGGGGCACTGCCCTTTGCTCGGTGCGGTACCCGGGCACCAGCGGGCTCGGGGCATTGCCCTTTGCTCGGTGTGGCACCCGGGCACCAGCGGGCTTGGGGCATTGCCCTTTGCTCGGTGCGGCACCCGGGCACCAGCGGGCTCGGGGCATTGCCCTTTGCTCGGTGCGGCACCCGGGCACCAGCGGGCTCCGGCATTGCCCTTTGCTCGGTGCGGCACCCGGGACCAGCGGGCTCGGGGCACTGCCCTTTGCTCGGTGCGGCACCCGGGCACCAGCGGGCTCCGGCATTGCCCTTTGCTCGGTGCGGCACCCGGGCACCAGCGGGCTCCGGCATTGCCCTTTGCTCGGTGCGGCACCCGGGCACCAGCGGGCTCGGGGCATTGCCCTTTGCTCGGTGCGGCACCCGGGCACCAGCGGGCTCGGGGCATTGCCCTTTGCTCGGTGTGGCACCCGGGCACCAGTGGGCTCCGGCATTGCCCTTTGCTCCGGGCGGCACCCGGGCACCAGCGGGCTCCGGCATTGCCCTTTGCTCCGGGCGGTACCTGGATACTCCCCGGCTCGGGGCTCTGTCCTTTGTTCTGTGCAGTACCCAGGCACCAGCAGGCTCTGGAGTTGCCCTTTGCTCGGTGCGGTACCCAGGGAACAAGAGGGCTCGGGGCATTGCCCTTTGCTCGGTGCGGTACCCAGGGAACAAGAGGGCTCGGGGCTCTGCCCTGTGCTCGGTGCGGTACCCGGGCACTCCCCAGCTCGGGGCTCTGCCCTGTGCTCGGTGCGGTACCCGAACGCTGCGCTTTGCTCGGTGCGGTACCCGACGCTCCCCGGCTCGGCGCGCCGCGCTGCCGGCCGTCCCTTACCTTGAGCGTGGCTTTCCGGACCTGTCCCAGCGCCCGCAGCGCGCTGGGCGACCCCAGGCGGTAGTTGAGATAGTGCAGCGCCACCCGGGCCGCCTGCCCGGCCAGGCGGTTGGAGACTTGCAGCTCTCCGTCTGCCCGGGGCGGCGAGGGGCCCTCACCCCACGCCAGAGGCAGCAGGAGCAGGAGCAGAAGGGGGCCGAGCCGGGCTGCGCTTCGCCGCTGCATGCTCAGCGATGCCGGCTGCTCGAGGTGCTGCGCGTCCAGAAGCTGCTCCGCACTGAGCCCGCAAGCGCCAGTACAAATAGTGAGGGTAGGGCCGGCTCCCCGCCCCTCCTGCCCCGGCTGTCAGTGCCGGGAAGCGCTCGAGCACCACCAAGGAGGCTCCGTCCAGTCTCCGGTGGCGACTTCTTGCCTTCCCCTTTTCCCGCCCCCGGCCTCCCTCCCTTTCCTTCCCTCCTGCCCGAGCTCCTTCCTTGAGTCCTCCCGCCTGTCCCTCTCTCCTTGCCCCCAGAACCTTTCTCCTTCCCCCCTTCACCTTAACCCCTTCCCCTGTTTCTTGCCTCTTCTCTGTCTCTCCTCCAACCCTCCCTCCTTTTCTCTCCTCCCTGCCTTCTGCCTCTCATTCTTCCCCCTTTCCTTCCTCTGCTCAGCCTTCACCCCCAGAGCGCCCAGCCTGCTTGGGAGGGAGGCAGATCTCAACTCGCCCAGTTTGCACTCCCAAAGGCTTTCGGGTGCTGGGAGGTAAGAGAGCAGCTCATGGAAGCCAGCCCTGGTGCTCTGTAGAGTTCCCACAGCCTTTCCTCTTCTATTCTCACTCTCTGGCTAGTCTCTTTCTCCCTCACAATTGTCTCATATCTTTTGATGAGCCACAGACACCTTGGTAGGTTAAAGAGACAAGTGGGTGAGGTAATATCTTTTATTGCACCAACTTCTCCAAGAAGAGATATCGCCTCACCCACCTTGTCTCTCTAAAATCCTGTGACTGACCGGGCTACAACTACCCTGCATCCAATTTTGTTAGGTTAACGTTTTCATTCCTTCCGACCAAAGTGTCTTACACACAGTGTTTGAGATCCCCAGGAGTCTGGCTGAGTGTAAATCTAGACCTGTCAAAGCTTGTGATGAGTACGAATGAGGAATCTGCACAGTCCTGGATTTAAACAGAGGAGGAATTACACATGCCAAGGGGAAAGCAAATCCACGGCACGCTTCCCTGAGTCTGGGAGCAGTCTTGTTCCCAAGGAAATAGGAGTTGCCACAGACCATTAGTCAAACAACACAGGAAACATGGAACACTAAAAGCCTTGCAGGCTCAGTTGTGGCAACACACAGCTGTACGGCACCAGATAAAACCAGACAAAAATGAACCACAGTGTAATAAAAGAGGCATTGGACAATCATGGACTATGGTTTATAAATAAGGAATTCAAAAGTCTTGTGTGACAATGGGGAAAAAAGTAAAACCCATGTTTATGAACACTTTTTGGTCTGATTTCCCGAGGGGCAGAGCATCTACTGGCGTTCAAAGTTCTGAGCATTTAGCTCCACTGAAAATCAGGTCAATACCCTGGCACCAGCAGGCTTCCAATGTTGGTTACTAGAGAAGGCAAGGGTTTGGAGGAAAGATTCCCTCTCTTAAGGTTACTATTACTATTTGTACAGCTGTAGTGCATAGGAGCCCCAATCAGGGATGAGACCCTCATTGTGCCAGGCACTGTACAGACATATAACAGAAAGATGGGCCTTGTCCAGCTCTGAAGAAATTATAATCAGAGTATAAAATAGGAGACAACAGGTGGCTTTAACAAACCGGTGGGGAGAGCACAGGGCCGGCTCTAGGTTTTTTGCCGCCCCAAGCAAAAAATGTGCCGCCCCCCCCCCAAGCTCCGAGAATGCAACTGCCCAAGCAAAAAAAAAAAAAAAAGGGGGGTGGCCGGAATGCCGCCCCTGGAATTGTGCCACCCCAGGTACGTGCTTGCTTTGCTGGTGCCTAGAGCTGGTCCTGGGAGAGCACCAGGTAAGGAGACAAGTCTAGTCAGCATGAGAAGTGGCAGTCATTAACACCCAATGCCTAACCCTTGTTGAGTTTTTTGTAAGCATCACAGCAAAGTCTTTAGGAGGTATTAGCAAGAGAACAATGAGGTGGTTTTGCAGATGTTTATGGGTAGGTCCTCCTGTGCGTAAGAGGCGGCTTGGAAGAAATACCGTGGAATATAGAAATCCTTCAATACGAGAATGTGACTCAAAAGTGCAAATGCTGTTGGAGAGGTGATCAATTGCCTTGCTCAAAACTAAAGTTAATGTCAAAGACCACAGTAGATATAAATAATCACAAGATAGCAAATAGACCAAAAAAACCAACATCAGGTGAGCATTAGATCTGCATCTTCCAAAGCTAAATAAAAATGGCTCTGATCCTGTGGAAAGTCACTTAGTCGGCTTGTGGCAAGTATGTCCCACTCACACACAACTGAAGCACGCAAACATGAAATACTCATATACAGCAGAGGACTTTTCAGCATTTTATTTTTATTTTGCAACGGTAAATCTATATATTCTTTGAAGCCTTCCTAATCCCATTTCTTGCATCTCTTCTTAAACCTCCTCTTCTCACCGCTGTGTCCCCCCCACAAGTACATCTCCTGCAAACATTTTGTTACAAACTCGAAAATTTTTCAAGAAAATAGCACTTTCCCCCAAACCAAACTGGCATGTTCCTGGGGGGAAATTTTATAAGCAAAGATGGCTTTTACAATCCAAACCCGCAAAAATGTGCACTTTTGGGATGTTTTTTGTGAAAGAACAGTCATTTTATCAAAATCGTGCTAAAGTGAGATATGTGTATGTGAAATGAAAAGGAGTACTTGTGGCACCTTAGAGACTAACAAATTTATTTGAGCTTATGCAAATTTTTTTTTTTTTAGTTTTATTTTTGCGAATACAGACTAACACGGCTGCTTCTCTGAAACCTGTGTATGTGAAATGATACTGTGCAAAATGGAAGTATTTTCCATGTGGAATTCAGACAAATAAAACCCACTGATATTGCATTGTTCCATCCCTTTCTCACTCTGCCTTCCCTTCTGATCCCCAGTGTGTCCCCTCTTCCAATTGCAGCCCTTCCTCTGAAAATCCTGGTCTACTCCACACCCAAACGATGAGCTATTCTGCTCTTTTCTCACTTTGCCTCCCCTTCCTAGCTTTTCCACCTTTACCCATTCTGACACCCCCTCAAAGGCCCATCTGTCCCTGGGAATTTCCCCACCCTAGCCAGAACTTGTGCATTTATCAGGAAAAGTTAATTTGACACCAATTATTAACTCTGCTGTGAGACTTCAGTAAATTCATCCGTCAGTGGTAAAGGATAATTATGTGGCTTGTATGTATTTCCAGTTATTATGATATTACTATTCTTTTTAATTATGTGCAGAATCCTTTTAAGAGAGTAATGAGGAAGGGCAACTTGCTTCGCCTACCCAATAGTAACCCAATTAGCCCATCTGAGCAGGTACGATACATTTAAGCCTTTTCCAACAGATGAGGGGACAGTCACTGCAAGTGAGTGAATTGTAGCTTATGAAAATGCCTGTTTTAAGTGAAGATACTCCACCATTTTATTTCTATTACTTTTGGTAAAGCAAAGCTTCATTCTAGAAGCTATAGATTACAGCAGTATTTTGCCTTTAGGCTTCAAAGTTACCATGTTCCATTAAGAATATCTTTGAATTTTATGCATGTTTGTTTATTAACTCATGCAGTGGACTAAGTCCTTTGCATCTGTTACAAGGGTCAAACCTCTCAGCTAACCCTGGAGTTACCTAAATAAACTGGATGGAAAGTTTATACTTCTGGAGGTGTCAGTAGAGACTGGATATTTGACTAAAGTTCCTCTGTTTCACACCCTAATCACTTATTTAAATTTGTGTCCAAATTGGCATCATAATTTTTCAGGGAACAATGGAGTCTTCCATGTATGTTTTTATTCTAAAATGCTCCCTTTTAAATGTTTTTGATGTTTGGCTCACATTCCCTTTGATTTCCTCTAGCTAAACAGCCCCACTCCCACAAACTCCAACCTTCTATCTCACATGCATACTCTGATAACATCTTGATATAGGCCACTTTAAAAATTAAATACAAAAAGTGATTCCCCTTATCTGGCATAAGTGATCTGAGCTATGTCAGGTGTTTCCTGATGCTACCTTCTTGCCTCACCTGCTCCACTCTGCACAGACACCCTTGGAGGCAGGATGGGCTGCAGCAGCTAAGGAGATGGGCTCTGCAAAGCCAAGCAGGTGAAGGAAGTCAAGGCCAATAAGGGCATTAGGGGTTGAGGAAGGTTTTGGACAGGAAGGGAGGTTGAGCAGGGATGGTCTGGTGGGAAGAGGATTTTGTGTAAGGGAGACCCTAAAGTGGTAGGGAATCAGGGCTTTGCAGGGACCCTGGGGTCCCAGTCCAGGATAGTGGTGCATCAAGGGTTCCCTGTAGTGCAGCTACCTAGTACACCAACTAGAGGCTCTAAATCACCAACACTGGGAAGCCCTACAACCACTGATGCCACTAGGCTCACCTCCACCCGAGCATCCTGTTCGACCCTTGAGCACTATACGCTACTGTGCTCTTCCCCAGCCCTGCTCTCTTTACCATCATCATTGTCAGAATTAAGGCTACTTACCTGATCCCAAGTATGGCGGAGAAGGTATGTACATTGTGAGTAGTGGATGGTTATGGGTGAGTATGACAAGGATAGAGAACCTATATTGTGAAGTGGGAAGAAGGAGGACTTGCAGGGCTGATTTCCTAGATTTTTAGAGATTACAAAGGTAACATTTGCACTTGAGCAACCTTGATTCTAAATTAACAAAGTGTTTTGATTTGGGGAATACAAAGCTTGAATGCTGAGCTCATTCACTGGTCTGGGTCTGGGTTAGGGAAGGCCTCTTTCGTACATCGAAGCAAAGGCATTTGCTCCTTCCACAAGACTGAGACAAATATACTCACTTAAAATCTGGTTGCCAATGAGTGGTCCTTGAGAACTGAGGGAGCATTCTGTAGCTAGCAGCAGGTTCTGAAAGTACCTATATTCTGCTCATTTGGTGGAGATAACAAGGAAATCTGTTTAATGTCTAATGACAGATAGTTGGAAAAAGATTAGTTGTCTAAATAAAAAAATTCCCTCTACATATTTATACAAGATGATCAGAGGGTGGAATATGCAATTTTGTATCTTTTTAGAGTACATGTTTACCTCAGTTCACACAACTCTGACCAAATGTAGAGGTAACATAAATGGTGATGTAAGTTACATGCTAATAAATGGGAGTAAGTGTGTGTTATGTAACAAAGTAGAGAACCTTCCAGGGCACTGAAACAAGGATAATTTATAAGTCAAGGGTGTGTTGAAAA